CCACCTGCCGCTCTCCGGCAGCGCCCGGAGACCCCCTAATTGGCTGCGGGCGCTCCGGGCTCCGCCCGTCGCCGCAGGGCACTCTGGAAACTGTAGTCCCCCGCGCGCCGTAGCGCGCCCGCGAGCTAAGGACTAGGCTTTGGAGAGCTTTAGGGGACCTTTCGGCGGGACCATCCCGGGACTGGGAGGCCCACCGCGTCTCGTGGCTCCCAAAAGTTTTGTGGGCTCGAGAGGGGAAGCGCATTGATTTTTCTCGAGCGCCCACTGATTGTTGTCCAGAGACCTAGAAGGCGTACCCGCATTAATCATTGAGTCTGCCCCGCAACTCCTCAGCGAGGCTGCTTTGCTCGCGCCCACTTTTCAGGTAGGGGCGCCCGGCAGGCGAGGGCACCAGCCCCGGGCTACAGATCCTGCTGGCGGATCCAGTGCAGCTTCCTCGGCGCGGTGCTGCCTCCTAGCGCGGGAAGCGCTACGCCGTTGCGACCGTGGCCAGTCCCTGGAGGCCCAGGCTCCCCGGCTTGCTTCCTGCTTCCCAGGGACTCTGCCCCACCGAGATCCACAAACCGGCCAGGGTTACAGGGCTGGGAGAAGGGCTCCTCGGGGACTTATTTATCACATGCTTCATGAAGGCTCTTCAGATATATTTGCCTATTAACCAAAAACTTTATTATGCTTAATTTCCCCCCAATTTTTTTTAAATAAGCTCAGTATACATAGAACTGAAGTCTTCCTGCCTACCTCCCTCGCAAAAACAAACAAACTGAAGTCTTCTTTGATCACCATCATTCTCATCCGGGCTGTTTTTACCTGCCACTGTTAACTGTCTCCAGGGCAGTTACATTTTATCTGAGTCTACTTAGTGGGTTTCCAAACGGAGAGTGCTTGAGGGGTGGGCAGTCTACAACGCTTGTTACAGTAACTCGAGTCTCAAAGAATGTCACACTCCAACCGTCCTTATCCCTACAGAGAATGTCCATGTTGAGGAGTTTCCATCCCTTCCTGAGCAGCAGGCAAACACCCAGTATAGTTCTAAATTTGGAAAGCCACTGCAGAAGCCTGGGGTGCTGGTGGTGGTCTGCACAAAGGGCGCCCTGAGTAAAGTTTGCCAAACACTTTGAAACATCCCCACAGCTTAATGAGTGGTTAGACTGCAGAGAGTCTTTATCACTAAAAGAAGTGATGGTGGTTCGGTGGGAGGGGGAATATAAATGAAACAAGATTGGCCCTGAGTTGACTGATAATGGTTGAAGCTGGGTAATTATTACACGTAGGTTTATTACTAATTATTCATCTACGTTTGGATGTGTTTGAAATCCTCTATTATAAAGAACATCAAAGAAAAGAGAAGGTGCTGGTTATACTAACCAAGTTTACTGCTTTGTTTTTTGGTTCGTTGACTCGTACTTTGGTCTTTAAGAAGTTCCTTCTCTCTTTGCTTTTATTTGATTGTACTAATTCTAGGTTCTTTTAGTACTTTTTTGTGTATTTAGATTTTTTTGTTTTCTCATAAATGTATTTGGGCTATAAATACTCCTCTGAGAACTACTTTGGCTGCCTAATACAGGCTTTCATGTGTACACTCTCTCCATTTCTAAACAGCCTGTGATTTCAGTTTACAGCTGGTTATACTTAGTGACAGAGGGATAATCAACAAGAGATTGAGGACAATAAACATCCACAGCACAGCTGGAGAACTGGAGGAAGCAATTTTAATTTATTGACTCTTTCCTATGATGTTTTGACCTAGGAAAACCTTTATTACCAGAGCTTCTCTCTACCCAACGTTCTAGTTCCGAGGCAGAATTCTCTATTTCACTCCAGGGTGCCAGAGCCTTCTGCTTAAAGGGCACCACGATGAAACTGAAGAAAGGATCGTTTCTGTGGTACCTCTATCTGGACAAACTATACTGCTTATTATCCGTGAGAAACGTGAAGGCCTTGGTGGATTATTTCCACCTTCTTGACGTGCACCGCAAGAACACCTTGAACGGTCTGTACTTTCAGAGATGTTTCCTTTGGGTCATTACCCGTTTTTTAACTAATGTGCAGGAAAACTGACAGAAACTGCTTCATTAACAGTTATCTGTTTTAACTTCTAAGTGAAGCACAGAGAAAAATCGCCACCTGAGACTGGATAGCAGTTCGGTGAGGAGGATTAAGTTGCTCTGGGGTTAGATTCTGGCTCCACCCATTACTCCCTCACGATATGGAGAATGCCATCACCTTTTTTAAGTCTCATTTGCTTCATCTGTGAGGCTTCTAAAAATGGAGTCCCTCTCACAGTTGGAAAAAGAATAATTGAGATAATGTATGGAAATACTTAGCTCAGTGCCTGGCCGCCATAAGGGTTTAATAAGTGTTCATTACTATTACAGTTATTCCTGGGGGCTGAGTCCCACTCAGGCATTAACCCCCAAGACTCTCCCTCAGCAAGACTTTTCACCTATCGAATGGGAGGTTGAACAGATAATCTGCAAGATCCCTTCTACTTCTTGGTACTTGGGAGTGACCAAAACGTGTTGATGATCTTGACCCTGCCTTTGAGTGCACAAACTAATAGATCAGTTAAAATACTTTAGTGTTTTTTTTTTAAGGATGGGGTTTAAGTAAGGTGTCCTATCCATTCATTGTGACCTGAGAGAAAAGTCATTTACCAATAGTTTCTTCCATAAAGATTTTTTTAAAGAGTTCAAGCTTTATAAAATAATAGACATCTTCATTTTTTCATACTTTCATGTCTCAGTTTTTCTTTTTACATGTAGATTTATACACAGTATGTCACCAAATCCCCACAACAGATAATCCGCAGTCCTAGATAAGGCAACGGTAGGGCACCCAGATGTAAACAGAAGAGCTGGGACTGAAACCCAAGGGTTTCTGACTCCGAAGTCCACC